CAGTGTTTTGAACTGTGCATCTGAAAGTTTGGCTATTTCTTGATCACTTAGATTTATCGGTTCTGGGGCTCTGAGTTGTTCTTGAGCCATATTTTGATCTGTTCATGCCTGTTATGTATGAGGAGCGGAGCCTTAGTTGTTCACCAGGGTGGGGCCACCCAGTTCGCTGGTTTGTGATGGTATATGTGGGGGCGCGGTCAGAGAGGGGCCACTCAGGTCGCTGGTTTGTGACACTGTATGTGGGGGCGGGGTCGGAGAGGGACAATAGCAGTTCCCTCTGCCAGTGGCTTCCTGCCACTGGGGCCTCACCTGCACAGTCAGCCTCACCGCTCCCTCCTTCACCGGTTTATCTGTGTGTGAATGTGTGACCATGATCAGCCCTCAGTGGGTCCACTGCCTTGGCCCTCAGTGGGTCCACCCGCTTCTCCACACCTGGGGTCCACCCATGGCTGCTGGTGCACCTGGGTTGTGTGCCCTGGTCAGTCCAGTGGATCTTTCCTGCCTGACCCTGCTCTGCTACTGGCTCTGCCCCTCTTACCGGTTTGGCTGAAGGGTTTGTTGTTGTTGGACTTCCGTGTAGTTCAATTTTCTGTGGTTTGGCTGCGTTTTTGTTGCTAAAACTTTGTTGTTTTTAAACTTAGTTGTGGGAGAAGGCGCAGTGCTTCCACCTACGCCTCCATCTTGGCGGAAGTCTCTGTTGTCATTTTCTACATAGGAAAAACCCAGTGAAGCCCTGTCAGTGTGTAAACTTGACCACATCATGGCAATCACCCTGTGCCTCAGTTTGTGCTGCTCAGAAAAGGGACAATGGCTTTTGCCCACCTTCCTGTCTGGGAGAAAGCTGCTCCCCAGTTCTTGCCTTGATGTGAGATACTTCAGTTCCACTCTGCATGCCACTGGTGCCTTTTAAAATGCTACCATGTGTTGGAGCTCAGAGTGAGTGAGACTGAATAAGTCCGTGTGTGGGTTCTTTAAGAGGAACTGCTTGGGACTTCAGAAGCAGTTTCTTCTGCCAACTCAGTCCCTGCTGGTTTTTGCAGCCAGAAGTTATGGGGAATTATCTTCCTGGCACTGCAACCCTGGACTGGGGGTCCTGGTGTGGGCCTAGGACTTCTTGCTCTTGAGGCATCCTTCCCAAATTTTTATCTATCACAAGTGTATGTGGAAGCAGCCTGTTTTATGTCTCTGCCCTTCTTACCCATCTTGGTGTGGCTTTTTAAAATTCTGTAGTTGTCAGACTTCCATTTCACTTGGCTTCTAACAGTTCTGAGTGATGGGTGTTTTATCTTTTAGTTGTAATTTTGACGTGGTTGTGGGAGGAGGTGAGCGATGTTTACTTATGCCGCCATCTCGACAGGAAGTTCTTTGTTATTCATTTATTTATGAGAGAGAGGAAGAGAGGGGGAAATGGATGGTGTAGAAACATCCATGCGTGAGAGAATCATAGATCAGAGCCAGATCAATCAGAGCTAAATTTTTATTTATTGATTTGAGAGAGAGAGAGGATGGTTGTTCCACTTTTTCATGTATTCATTGGTTGCTTCTTGTGTGTTTCCTGACTGGGGATTAAACCTGAAACCTTGGTGTTATCTGGTTGGCGCTCTAACCAAGTGAGTCACCCAGCCAGGGCCAAACCAGTTCACTTTTAAATGGATGTGTAGCATTCACTGGCCAGTGATGCAATTATTCATTTTAATAGTGATGGGCATTTGGTTTTTTTCCAAAGTTTTCCCATAAAAAATTACAGTGTGATTAAAAACTCTTCTGTCAGCTACAAGCTAGATGCTTATATGTGCTGACTTCAAACTATTTGTCTTTATGCCCCCCTCCCGAATTTCTAACCCCTTACATACCTTCTTCAAAACTAAGCTCTAGACTTTATTTGAATTTCACCTGTTTACACACTAATGTCCCTTCTTTGTTCCAGGATGCCATGCAGACCATGTGGATACTGGCTCATCCCATCGCCCTGTCCTGGTATGTTGTCATCTCTACTCAGGAAAAACCCAGTGAAGCTTTGTCAGTGTGTAAACTTGACCACATCATGGCAATCACCCTGTGCCTCAGTTTGTGCTGCTGTAGAAGGGGGAGCCTGTGATTGGGGACCTACTAAAATCATCATGTGAAGCCCTGGGAAGTTTCCCATATGGGACATGCACTGACTTTACAAGCGAGTTATGCACTATAAACATCTTTCCTTTGGCACATTACAAGGGAATTAAATGCTCTTCCCCAAGAATGTGCAACTGCATCTTCACAAAAATTCATGTATAATGACATGAGGGACACCCTGGGAACCACTTGGTTTTGTGTCCATTTCGCTGATGATGGGAGTGTTGGTCTGAGGGCCACGGTGGGTAGAGAAGGTAGTTAGGGCCCAGGGACCCTCATTCAAGGGTCTCCCCAGACAGACAGATCATTTAAGCCTCCTAGGACCCAGTGGGCAAGAAGAGTCCACTCTCACTGCAAAGACCAGTGAGATAAATGTCTTAGTTTCCATGGCTGCAATGGTCATGGATCGTTGATGACACCATGTTGAACCAAGGCACAGAATCCCCGACAGGAACAGGAAAAGAAGAGTATGCACATTCAGTGAATGCCCAGGGATGCACTCACAGGAGGTCCACTGGTTGTAGCTGGTGATGTGGGATGCTTCCACAAGCAAAAGAGTAGGGTGGGGCTTAAAGGCACAGTGGTGAAGGGATGCTTATTCTCCTATTTCCTAGGACTGAAGACAGAGACCTATCCTGTGACCGGACTGGGATAAGTAACCCAATACAAGTGATAAGTAAGAGATAGCATATAAAAGGAGGGTGAACTGTAGGGGATGCATGGCAGGGAAGATGGGGGTGGAGGAGGATGAGCTATAGGGGACACAGGACAGGAGGAGAATGGAGGAGGAGGGTATGGGTCCAGGACTTCCTTGTGACAATTATACTGTATTTTTCAGACTGTAAGATATACCCCCCAAATTTGGGAGGAAAATGGGGGTGCAACTTATAGTCCAAATGTAGCTTACCTGGCTCACTATAGAGGGGTGGCAGCAGTGGAGTGGGGTCACAGGTTATTAAATAGTTCACCACATTTTTTGCTTCAAAACTTTTTTCCTACTTTCCTCCTCTAAAACCTAGGTGTGTCTTATGGTCTGGTGCATCTTATAGTCCTAAAAATACGGTATCTATAGTGATGATTACCTGAGTTTTCCTAAACTACCAGGCCTCTGGGTGAGCAGACAGTTGGTAGGCAGCGTCTTCTGCTGTGCAACCCAATGAGAGTAAGGCAATGAGGCCTCGTGCCCCAGTCAATCCCAGTACCGTCCCCTTAGGAGTCTCATTGTGCCATGGTGGGCAGAGTCACTGGGGAGCCTGCAGGACTTCCCCCTGCTCTGTGCAGTGGACATGCTTCGAGGAGACACATGGCAGAGCCCAGTGGACACAGGAGGCAGAGTGCGGATTGGGGGCATCCGTGGGCTTCTGACAAAGCGGGGCTGGCCTCCTGGGGTTGCTCTGGGTTTCCCCTCACTACTCTCAGCTCTCAGTTCTATGTAAAGAGGGTAAAATGCCAACATTGAGCCTCCTCTGGACCTCGTTTTTTTCTAGGCCAACATGGACATCCTCCCTGGGCCTCCCGTGGTAGTATCTCCAGAGGTGTGCAGTGCAACTGTGCACACATGTGCAGCAGCTGTGGGTCCCAAACAGCCATTCTGTGGGGGGTAAGCCCTCCCATGGGATTTTCCTTCCTGGGTACTATGGATCAAATGTGTCCCCTCAAATTTACATGTTGAAGGTCTGCCTCACACTGTGACATGTTAGGAGGAAGTGGGGTTAATTGAGGTCCTGAAATGGGCCTTCACAGTGGGATCAGTGTCCTCACAAGAAGAGGAGGGATCAGAACTCTCTCTCTACCACATTAGGACACAACAAGATGTTCTCTGTGACCCAGAAAGGGAACCTCAGTAGACAATAATCTGCCAGCACCTTCATTAGGACTTTCCTGCCTCCAGAATTGTAAGCCATAAATGGTGTTTGTTATGGCAACTCAAGATGACCGAGACCTTGGCACCATTCCCCAGGTGACCAAGGAGAGGTCTTGGGTCAGGTGGGGTGCAGGGGGTATGCCCTTGGGGTGGGCAGGGGCAGATGATGTTGGTGGCCTTAGGGGGGCTGCCTCCTCCCTGTTTCCATGGCCCTGGCCCAAGGACGAGAGGTCAGTGTTCCAGGCTGTCCAGAAAGGCAGGTGAGCTTGGCCTAGAGTGAGAGGGGCCACCTGGCAGGAGTCCTGGGGCCTTTCCTTAGAAGGGGCTAGCCCCTGCCCCCAGTGCCCTTGTCAGAAAGAGGAGGTCCTGTCTGCAGGGAACCTTCTCTGAGGGCAGAGCCAGGCCAGGACCTGGAGGCAGCCCTTGCACCCTCCCTGAGCCCAGGGCATTCCCTGTAGGGTGACCATGGGCTGACCTCCACCATGGGGTGCTGTTCTGGTCCCCTACCTAACTCCCCCACCCCCTGACCCAGCATCAGGGCATGTGTCCCAGCCCAGGACTCAGCCCAGATCTTGCTGCACGGGCACTTCCTCTGCACCGGTGTGGAAACCATGGTCTGAGTGCAGACCCGTTGCCCAGTGTGATCAGTGTCTTAGCTCAGCCAGCAATTTGCCCCTGGATGGTCCCTGATCCCCTGGGACCATGTGGTCCTGGGTCTCTCCTGGAGGTGGTTCCTGCTCTCTTGGGCTCCTTCCCAGCCTGCACTCCAAGGTGCTGATCTGAGGAGGGGTCCTAACCAGCTGGGGCCCCTGCCCCACCAGCACCATCACTCCCCCCATCCACCCTGAGCCTTTGCCCTTTGCCTACCTAGGGCCTGGGGTGAAACCCAATCGGGGAAGTGATAGCCAGGCTATTTTGAAGCTGGGCTGGGCTGCCTGGCGGGTGGTGGGGGCAGGGTAGGGGCGGGCCCAGACTTCTCCAACTGACAGCATCCGCCTGTCCTCTGTCCCTGTCCAGTCTGAGGGCCAGCCAGAGTGCAGGCTGCTGGGCAGGATCCGTGCCGGTCCTGGGCCGTGAGAGGTGGGTGAGACCTGGTGGCCCCTGCCCCACCATCTGAGTCCCTGGTCTGTGTGCTGCTCTGAGTCCCCGGTTGAGACAGGTGAGAAGGCAGAGTGGGCAGCGGTAGGGGCCATTCCATGAGCCCCCCAGGGGGGGTGGCTTGGTTGAAGGTCATGGCTCTGGCAACAGAGGAGCCTGGGGTAGGGTCTGGCTAGTCTGTGCTGCTCCCTGGTTGGGGGCCTGGATCCCAGCTCCTGCCCTGCCAGTGACCTGAGCCAGGCCCCCACACACAGAGGGAGCAACCAGGTTGGGAGGTTGAGGCTGTGTGCCCCATCTCGTTCCAGGGTGGCCTGGGGGTCCGTCTAGCCCTACCCCCAGCTTGGCTGACATGGATGCGTGCTGACAGCTGGGGCTATTTTAGGCCTGTTGGCTCAGTAGTGGGGACAGCCAGAGCAGTAGTGACACCCGACTCCAGGAAAGAATTTTCCTGTGGTGAGCAGGAAGCCTGGCTTAGTGGTCTGGGGGGTGAAGGTCCAGGAACTGCCCTTGAAGTCTTTTCTGGGAGGATGAAGGCAGCAGGGTGAGGAGAGAGCCAGGAGGGTTCTGCCCTCAGGCTGGAGCCACTTCCCACCATGGGAGTCCAGGGCCCCAGGACCGGTGGGGAGCAACTCTGGATGGGTGTCTCGGTGCTGGAGTGAGGCTCCTGCTGGTGCCCAGCTGGGGCCTCTGGGGATCCACAGGAAGTGTCCTTCCCAGGCAGGTGTCCATTGGAGGGAGAAGGGGCCTCCTGGGAGGCTGGGGCTGAGGTCCGGCTGGGGCTGAGGTCCTCCTGGGCCCCCACCTGAGGCCTGTTTCTGCCAATGTGGCAAGGGAAGGAGGCCACTGCATGTGTCCCTTTGCCCAGAGGTTGCCTTGTGTGGTCCCTATTCTAGCTGACCTGAACATGGGCAGCTGCGGACTCCTTGCGGAGTGCTTGGGGCACTTGGCCCTGCTGACTGGGGATGCCTGCCCTGTGGAGTTGCAGTGGGGCTCTGAGGCTGTCGTGTCTGGGTGGGCCTTCTCAGACCCCCAGGGTCTGCCACATCAAGAGTAGGGAACATAGGCCTAGGTGGGGAGCAGGGCATCAGCATAGTCCCCAGCAGCCTTAGAGAATCTCAGGGTCTCTGCCTACCCTTGTCAGGCCAGGAGCACCTTGTACACCTGCTGAGGCTGGGGTGGCCCCCTCTAAACATGTGAGAGATGGGAGTTCTCTCCCTGACCTTCTGACCCCAGAGGCCTAGGCTGTGGAGGTGGCTCCTTGCCCCTCACCCTCACATGCTCACTCAGGAGCTGGGAGCAGACTCTCTGGTGCCTGCTCTGGATATGTGGGGGGTGAAGGAGGATGCTGTGTCCTGCCTTGGGGAACCCACACACTGACTGTATGATTTGGAGTGTCACTGAGAATAGCTCTGGATCCTAGGAGACCTAGTGTCAAAGTAATTTTCCCCCAGAGGAATGCTGAGGCCAGGGGCGTCTGTGGAGGTGGGGCTTCTTTGGCTGCCTGCCCAGGTCCTCCCAGGCCCTCCAGGCCAGGCCAAGCGGGGTTGGCTGGTGGGGTGGGGGACAGACTTTCTGACTGCACAGTGAGTCAGCAGGCTGGTCTGGGCCCAGCCACCTCCAGAGGGATTAGGGGGATTAGGTCCTGAATTACAGAGCCAGAAGCAGAGGACCCAGAGACACCCTCTATCCTCCAGGGTGGGCAGCCCCTGTCTCAAGGCTTGGAGGCTCAGCTCCTGGGATGGAGGGGGTTAAAATGCTTGTGGCCAGCTAGAGCCCAGGAGCCCACTGTGTTTGCTATTCTTACAGAAGCCCCCATAGGGAGGACCTGGTGCTGTCCTGGAAGCAGTGGGGGTGACCTCAGGTAGGTGGATGCCAGCGTCATGGAGGGCGTTTAGCACTGATGGTGCCAGTCCTGCCCACACAGGGTGCCCAGACAGTGAAGCCACAGAGTCAAAATGTCATCTCTCACTGCCACCGCCACCACACTTACTGGCTCCAGGTTTGGTCCAGCTAACCGGTCTGGCTGTCTCAGCCTAGAGGTCCCTGGCTCTTCCTGGGGGAGCCTCCACTGTCTTCTGCAGGCACACTGCTGACCATGCTACCCAGCAGTCCTCCTCCAAGCTCCGAAGGGAGGAGAAAGGGGCTCACAGTGAGGTGCCCCGCAGCCTGGTGGGCTAGGGGCGCTGTCCTGTTAGGACGAGCTCAGCTGCAGTGTTTCCATTTCTTCCCTGACCACTGATGGGCGCAGTCTCCCAGGGGTTGAGAGGGTGGGGAACCCCAGGAGAGGTCAGGTACCCACTGGCCTAGGGTGGCTGCAGGTGGGACAGACCTGTGCATAAGACTCCCCGTGGGCACCACTGGGCAAGGGGGCCTGAGTTGCACACAGCCCCACGTGGGGCCCAAAGTCTTAGGGAGGGGGAAGAACATGGGCAAGGGGAGGTGAAGGTAGTGCTCTGGGCCCAGGGCTTGAGGAGAGCCTGTGACCTCTGGTATGCCACAGTCAGAGAGACAGGGACAGGCCAGCAGTGGACACCCACCGTGGACCTCCCACAGTGGGTGGCCAAACCTATTCTGGAGCAAAGAGCCTCCCTCACTGAGTGGAGTAAACATAGACAGACTGCAGTTTCTGGCCCCAGGAGGCAGCAGTGTGTGGAGGGGAGGGGAGGGGACAGGACACTTGAGGCAGTTGGAGTGACTGAGGGGATATAGCAGGTCTACTTAGCAAGGTACTGCATGGCTGGTGCAGGAAGAAGCTGGTGCCCCAGCAAGATGCCTCACAGGAATAGGGCAGCCTAGATGTTGGTGTGGTGTTCTGGAACAGGTGCTCAGCTAGTCCTGGGGTCTGGGCAGTGGGATTGAATCTGCCAGGAGAGGCTGGAGCTGCTCACCTACTAGACCCCAAGATCTCAGAAAGAGGTAAATCTGCACTTCTGAACCACCCTGCCTTCTGATGCAGCCTGGGCTGTGGGGAGGGGCGTGTGCAGGCATCTACCTGGATTAAACTGGGTTAGCCAAGTAGGGTCGGATGGGAGGGTGCGTCAGAGGTTCATCTCCACTATACCTTTCCCGCCCACCTCGTAGGTCTCCGCCCTTCCCCTCCCCTTCCACCATGGATCACTCCTCATTCAGTGGTGCGCCCCGATTCCTGACCCGGCCCAAGGCCTTTGTGGTGTCTGTGGGTAAGGACGCCACGCTGAGCTGCCAGATTGTGGGCAACCCCACGCCACAAGTGAACTGGGAAAAGGACCAGCAGCCGGTGGAGGCAGGCACTCGCTTCCGCCTGGCCCAGGATGGCGACCAGTACCGCCTCACGATCCTGGACCTGGCTGTAGGAGACAGCGGACAATACCTGTGCCGCGCGCGCAATGCCATCGGCGAGGCCTTCGCAGCAGTGGGCCTCCAGGTAAACGCCGAGGCCGCGTGTGCAGAGCAGGTGCCCCACTTCTTGCTGCGGCCCACGTCCATCCGCGTGCGTGAGGGCGAGGAAGCCACCTTCTGCTGCCGTGTGCGCGGCTCACCGCCTATGGCAGTGAGCTGGGCCAAGGATGGGAGGCGCCTGGGAGTTCCTGATGCCCCGCGAATGACTGTGGAGGCCAGTGGCGAGGCGAGTGCGCTGCGCATCCAGGACGCGCGGCCCCGCGATGGTGGAACCTACACGGTGCGCGCTGAGAACCCACTGGGCACCGCCAGCGCCGACGCTGCGCTTACAGTAGACGCGGATGCTGGCTCCGCAGGCCCGCCTGGGACTTCTACAGCCGCGCTCTTGGCGCACCTGCAGCTTCGGCGCGAGGCCATGTGGGCTGAGAGAGCCCCAGCCTCACCACCAGGTTCGGGCACACGCACCTGCACGGTGACCGAGGGCAAGCACGCGCGCCTCAGCTGCTACGTGACGGGTGAGCCCAAGCCGGAGACGGTGTGGAAGAAGGATGGGCAGTTGGTTGCTGAGGGCCGGCGACACGTGGTGTACGAGGACGCTCAGGAAAACTTTGTGCTCAAGATTCTTTTCTGCAAGCAGTCGGACCGTGGCCTCTACACCTGCACAGCATCCAACCTCGTGGGCCAAACCTACAGCTCTGTGCTGGTCGTTGTTAGAGGTGAGCTTGGGCGCCACGCACCCGTGCTGTAGCCACTGCCGCTGAGCGCAGGAGCGGCTCCTCCGGGTCTGTCAGGTAGTGAATGGGGAGCTGGGAGTCCAGGCGGCTCTCCCTTTAACCTGCCCGCAAAATGCAAAATGCAGACGGCACCAGGATGACCCTGAGTCCATCCCCTGTCTTTGTGAGTAACAAGAGTAGAGGAGAATGCGCTTTGTCACCAGTACTCCCTCCCCATGGGAGATGGTCAGGGTGCCCCGCAGCTGAGCCTGCCCCGGATGCTGATGGGGTCTCCCTGTTGAAGAGTGAGGCAGAGCAGAGAATTTGGGGCCAGTGGCTGCTGTGCAGCAGGAGGTGGCTCTGGCCAGTCTGTAGGCTCCTGTTTGCAGGCCCAGGCAGGTGTGGGCAGGTTTTGTTGGGAGGTTCGTGTATTCTTCTCCATTACAACAGTGGCCCCTCTAGTTGGGAGTCCTGCCTCCACCTTCTTATACATATCACCGCTGTAGGATCTCAGACTGGGGACTGGGCGTGTTTGTCTTAGCATGGGTGCATCAATTTCTTCATTTGTGCCTGTCAATGCCCCCCTATTCCAGTGGAGCCTGGGAAGCTGCAGTGAGAACATGCATGTGGCCTGAAGCCAGCACCCAGGGAATGAGCATTTCTGTCAGGTCTCGGTCTGCTGCCTAACTGCGGGGCTAGCAGCGGGGGTCTGCTCAGGGGACTGCTAGACTTATTGCTCCTTTTCTCTTCCAGATTTCTTATATTTGGGAGGAGGGGCTCTTTTCTTTAACTTCTGTCCCCTTTCCCTGCCCTCCTCTTTCCTCCTCAGCTGTCCCACTCACTTCCTGCCCTGCAGCCCCTCCCACCCATACCTCCTGCCCCCACCTCAGCACCTACTTGCCCTTAGCCTGCACTGCCCCTACCACCCTTTCCCTCTCCCAACCCCACCCACCACACTCTAAGTGCCCCACCCATGTCCCCTCTTCCCTGCCCAGCCCACCGCCCCACTCAGTTCATCCCTCTCCCTACAGAACCTGTGGTGCCCTTCAAGACCCGACTGCAGGACCTGGAGGTGCAGGAGAAGGGGTCGGCCACGTTCCGGTGTGAGGTGCCACTGCTGACCATGCAGGCTCTATGGTACAAGGAAGATACGAGGCTGTGGGCCGGCACCAAGTATGCCATTGAGGAGGAGGGCATGGAGCGCCGGCTGACTGTGCACAACACCTCGGCTGACGATGATGCTGTGTACATCTGTGAGACAGCTGAGGGCAGTCGCACTGTGGCTGAGCTCGCAGTACTAGGTGGGTGGGTGGGGACCACTTGAAAGGGGATGTGGAGTGTGGGCAGGGTCCATGAGACTGGAGGGGTGGCTGGCAAAGTCTGGTTTGACCAGTCCCTGGCTCTGCTACACCTTAGGCAACCTCACCAGGAAGCTCCCGAGAAAGACAGTGGTGCGAGTTGGGGACACTGCCCTGTTCTGCGTGGAGCTGGCCAGGCCAGAGGGCCCTGTCCACTGGCTCTGGAACCAGAAAGAGGTGGTGGCTGGAGGTCGTGTGGTCATTACCGCTGAAAGCACACGCCACACGCTGACCATCGCCCAGTGCAGCCTGGAAGATGTGGGCGAGGTGGCCTTTGTGGCTGGGGACTGCCGAACATCCACACAGTTCTGCGTGTCAGGTAAGGGCCTGGGAAGGGCCTCTCCAGAGGAAGCAGTGCCCCTTGCCACCATCCAGGTGCTGGGTCCAGCACTGCCCCCATCTGTGCTCTGTAGCTTCAGGAGGGGCATGGGGCACATTGAGTTTAGGCTGTAGGTCTGGCTCCTTAGACCCTAATTGTTTGAGGCCCTCCTTCATTATGGTCTCCCCAGGCATTGGCACAGTGGGAATCTTGATAGCCCTCCCATTCCACCAACCAAATTAGAAGGCGTAGATTGTTCTAGAAGTACAATGTGTGTGTGTGTGTGTAGGATGTCCTGTGTAAGTATCTTCTTTCTGTGGCCTTGGAGTCTACATTGTCGATTCCTTGGCAGTTCCCTACTCTGCCCATCCACACGGGGTCAGCCCTTGGCTGGGGGCAGGGTGTGCCCCTCCACGCAGTCTCAGTACCGTCAGGTTGGTCACATTGCTCTGCCTCAGTCACTGTCCAGCCAAGACCCCAGTGCACTGTTGGAGTCAAGGCTGAGCACTGGAAGATGTCTGTCCCCAGGCCACATAGTTTATGGTGGCCCTGGGCCAAATGTGGCTGCTGAAGCCAGGGTTCCTTTTCTGCTTCAAACAGAGAAATGGCCACAGGGCGAGGCCAAGCATTATGGGCCCCCAGCCTCCCCTCAGACCAGCCTTTCACCCCAGGCTGTGGTCATTTCAGATTATCAGAGCAGTGCTCCCTAGTGGGACTGGGGATTCTGTGATCCCCTCCCTCCTCCAGAATGATCCTGGACCTGGGGTTAGGGAGGAGCTCCTAGTCGGTGATGTGGGCCTGTGCTCTGCTCAGCCCCTAGGAAGCCACCACCGCACCCCCCTGAGGCCCCTGTGGTGAAGGCCAAGACAGAGAGTTCTGTGACTCTCAGCTGGTCCCCACCACTCTGTGTGGACCGCCCTGTTACCATCGATGGCTACCTGGTGGAGAAGAAGAGACTGGGCTCCTATAGCTGGAGCCGGTGCCATGAGACTGAGTGGGTGGCCACGCCTGAGGTGACTGTGGCCTGCGTGACTGAGGAGGGAGACTACCAATTCCGGGTGTCAGCTGTGAACAGCTTTGGCCAGAGCGCCTACCTTGAGTTCCCGGGGACCATCCACCTGGGTAAGTGTGGCACGCCCTCTTCCCCACCACTGCCAGGTCATGGCCTGTAGGGCATTCTCCATGGAAGCACCCATACCTAGAGCACAGCCCAGCCTCAGTGAGGCCACAGTGACTCTAGAGCCTCTTTATTGGGGTGAGTTACCGGAATCCTGATGCTGCTGGAGCCTCCTCTGTGGGAAAGAGAAGGGACTCTGAGATAGGACTTGCATCCCACAGGAACCTGTCTGTGTCCTCCCGCCCCAGGGGACCAGGTTGCACAGCTGTACCTTCCACCTCTGGGCTTGTGAGATCTGGAGGGGATCTTGAATGGCTCTAACCTGACCCCACACAGTCCTGAGCCCTGCGATCCTTCATGGTTGCTACGCACCTGTTCAATGGGCTTCCTGGAGGGTGCATTTGGGCCCAGACTCTGGGGGAGGAGATGGGAGGGAGGTCAGGTGCCTTGCTCCTTCCTGAAGCCCCATCCTGCAGCCCCTCAGCTAGCTGTGAAGACGCCTCTGAAGGCGGTAGAGGCAGTGGAGGGCAGTGAGGTGATCTTCTTTGTGGACCTCACTTTGGCCTCAGTGGGCAAGTGGTTCTTGGACAGGCAGGCTCTGAAGGCCAGCAGCATGTATATGATCCTCTGTGATGGCATCCGGCACGCCCTCACTATCCACTCAGTGCCTGCCAGCTTGCACTGTGCTGAACTCAAGTTCGTGGCCAATGGCTTTGAGAGCAGTATCTGCATGGAGGTCTGAGGTAGGGGACCCAGCCCCTGACCCCTGGGGCCTCTCCAAGTTCTGCTTCCTTTGAGGGTAGGAGCCAGAGCAGGACCTGGGCCCCCAGGCCTCAGGCCCCCTGGAGAGTGCTGGTGGGCTGCGGGAGTGCGGCCTGGATAAGCAGGGCCAAGTGGTGGGGTGGGGGAAGTAGAGCAGCTTGCCTGGCCTGGTGGCTGTCCCCAGCCACAGTGTGTGAGTGAATGAAGGGCTGGCGGCTCCTGATGACACATAGCCTCATGTCTCCCTCTATCTGCTCCTCTTTCCCTTCTCTCTCCTCCACTCTCTGTCCACTCCTCCTTTGCCCACTCTCCCTCTGTCCACTTCCTCCTCTCCCTTCAACCACATTCTCCTCCCTTCACACCCTCTCTCTCCTCCTCTGGGGGCCCCCAGTGGCCCCAGGGCTGAGCACCAACCATCCAGCAGAAGTTCGGGAGGTGCTGGCCCGGCTGCATGAGGAGGCACAGCTCCTGGCTGAGCTGTCAGACCAGGTGGCAACCGTGACATGGCTCAAGGATGGCCGAGCACTACCCCCAGGCCCCAAGTACCAGGTGCAGACTTTGGCAGGGCAGTGGGCACTACTGGTGCGAGACGTGGCACAAGATGACGCCGGCCTGTACGAGTGTGTCAGCCGTGGGGACCGCATCACTTACCAGCTGTCAGTGCAAGGTATGTGTGTATCCACGTGTTTCTATGTTCTCTTGGCTGCTGCCAAAGCCTCAGCATTCTGTACCCCTGCTCTGGGCAGGCTCTACAGGGTCAGGGAAATGGGAGCTGATGTTCTCTGTTGGGGGATCAGTTGTGAGTTGTGAGGTAGACTCTATGGGGACAGTGGGGGCAGGGTTCTATTTGGTAGAGGCAGGGACTCCGTGGGGAAGTCCTAACAGTTCATGGGTGGTTGGAGGTCAGCAGCTGGCCTTGTCTGAAGGGGCACCTGGTCTGGGCCAAGCCAGGGCTCCATGTGGTTCCAAACCCCTGAGCACCTGCATGGCAAGTGTGTGGTGGGCATGCTCACAGTCCAAGCACTTCCTGCCCCTAATCCCTGCCATACTTGTAGGACTCACACCCTTTCTGCACAAGGACTCAGCCGGTGGCTGCTTGGACACTGTGACAGGGGGCCCAGCCTACTTTGAGTGTGAGACTGTGGAGGCCCACGTGCCTGTGTGCTGGGTCAAGGATGGTGTGGAGCTCAGCTTCTCTGGCTCACCTTCTCGCAAGAGGACATGGGCACGCGGCACCAGCTGGTGGCCGACTCAGTCAGCAGGCAGGACTAGGGCACCTATTCATGTCGTGTGGGCGAGCACTCTGTGGATTTCCAGCTGCACATTTGCAGTGAGCAAGCAACTCCCAGGCTTGGTGGGTGGGGGGCAGGTCCAGCTGTATCTAGCACTTGCAAGGGGGAGCTGGCTCTTCATTGCTTATGCAAATCCTTGGGGAGGGATAGGTGCTTCAATTTGGGAAAAGAAATTACCCATAAAACTAACATAGAGGTGGATAAAAGAATTAGAGGTAAGAAATGTGAAGTCCTTGTTCTTTTATTTATTTTAATTTTTAAAAATATATTTTATTAGGCCCTGGCTGGTGTAGCTCAGTGGATTGAGCACGGGCCTGCGAACCAGACAATCGCGGTTCGATTCCCAGTCAGGGCACATGCCTGGGTTGCAGACCAGTTCCCTGCAGGCCAATTCCCAGCAGGGGATGCATGAAAGGCAACCATACATTGATGTTTCTCTCCCTCTCTCCTTCCCTTCCCCTCTAAAGATAAATAAATAAAATCTTTAAAAAATATATATATATATTTTATTGATTATGCTATTACAGTTGTCCCATTTTCCTCCCTTCACTCCCCTCCACCCTGCACTCCCCCTCCCATCCACATTACCCTTTCAGTTCATGTCCATGTGTCATACATATAAGTTCTTTGACTTCTACATTTCCCATACTATTCTTACCCTTCCCCTTTCTATTTTCTACCTACCATCTATGCTACTTATTTTCTGTACCTTTTCTCCCTTTCTCCCCCTCCCACTCCCCTGTTGATAACCCTCCATGTGATCTCCATTTCTGTGGTTCTGTTCCTGTTCTAGTTATATGCTTAGTTTGCTTTTGTTTTTGTTTTAGGTGTGGTTGTTAATGATTGTTAGTTTGCTGTCATTTTACTGTTCATATTTTTTTAATCTTCTTTTTCTTAGATAAGTCCCTTTAACATTTCATACAATAAGGGCTTGGTGATGATGAATTCCTTTAACTTGACCTTCTCTGGGAAGCATTTTATCTGCCCTTCCATTCTAAATGAAAGCTTTGCTGGATAGATCAATCTTGGATGTAGGTCCTTGTTTTTCATGACTTGGAATACTTCTTTCCAGCCCCTTCTTGCCTGCAAGGTCTCTTTTGAGAAATCAGCTGACAGTCTGATGGGAAATCCTTTGTAGGTAACTGCCTCCTTTTCTCTTGCTGCTTCTAGGATTCTCTAGGATTAATTTTTATCTTGGGTAATGAAATTATGATGTGCCTTGGTGTATTCCCCCTTGGGTCTAGCGTCTTTGGAATTCTCTGAGCTTCTTGGACTTCCTGGAAGTCTATTGCCTTTGCCAGATTGGGGAAATTCTCCTTTATTATTTGTTCAAATAAGTTCCACTTGTTGCTCTTCCTCTTCTTTTTCTGGTACCCCTATAATTTGGATGTTGGAACATATAGAGATGTCCTGGAGGTTCCTAAGCCTCTCCTCATTTTTTTTTGAATTCTTGCTTCTTCATTCTTTTCTGGTCTGATGTTTCTTTCTTCCTTCTGGTCCACACTGTTGATTTGAGTCCCAGATTCCTTCCTATCATTATTGGTTTCCTGTACATTTTCTTTTATTTCACTTAGTGTAGCCTTCATTTTTTTCATCTAATTTGCAACCAAATTTAACCAATTCCGTGAGCATCCTGATCACCAGTGTTTTGAACAGTGCATCTGATAAGTTGGCTATCTCTTCATTGTTTAGTTGTATTTTTTCTGGAGCTTTGATCTGTTCTTTCATTTGGGCCATTTTTTTTGTCTTGATGCACCTGTTACGTAGTGAGGGGCGGAGCCTTAGGTGTTCACCAGGGTGGGGTAACCCACTTCACTGCTTGTGATGCTGTATGTGGGTCTGAGAGGGAACAATGGTGCTTGCTCCACTCTGCCGGATTTCAGTCATTTCCCACAAGCAAATTGTGCACTTCTGGCGCAGATTTCTGTGTGGGTGGGTTTGTGTACATTCTAGGACCCTGTGGGTCTCTCCCACAAATTCTCCTGTGAGGCTGGGTGTTTCTCTGGGCATCTCAACCCCTACAGGTGTTCTCAACTGGTGTTTTGAGGCTTTATTTCCCCAAGCCGGGACCCTGGGTTGTGTGGTTTGTAACACTACCCATTTTCACCTGTTTTATCTCTACTCAAATGTGGGACTGCATGGTCAGCTAGCTGCCTTACGCGCCATGTACCATTCCACAATCTACCACCTCACTGGGTCTGCCAGCCACTGCTTTGCTGAAAGTCCTCTCCACCCCGGCTGCCTGTCTCCACCCCTCCAAATGGTCTGGATGAATGTGTCTTCTTTAACTCCTTGGTTGTTGGATTTCCATACAGTTGGATTTTCTGTCAGTTGTGGTTGTTTTTAAATTGTTATTGTCCTTCTTTTGGTTGTGTGAGGAGGCACAGTGTGTCTACCTATGCCTCCATCCTGGCTGGAAGTCAAGTCCTTGTTCTTTTAAAAGATCAGAGGAGGCTGAGAGGACCCAAGAGGAGCTAGGGGCATCCTTGGCAGGATGCATTTGGACCTTGGTGAATATGAGGTTCTGGCTCTTTCTTGAAGCTACTGAGGCCTGTTGATGCATGCCCCAAGTCCTGACCCCCAGGAAGGTCTCTGCCACCACCTATGCCTTCCTCTCTGTCCTGAGGCAGCAGTCAAGACCCCTGTTCCTGGGAGGGCTGCACCACATCACCTGACCCAAAAAATCTCATGGGGGTCCTGTGGTCATCTGGAGCCTGAGCCTCTGTTGTGGCTCTAGCACTCACCTCTGTGGGGCCCTGACTGTGCGTTCCTTCCTGCTCCCAGAGCCCTCGGTGGTATTTGCCAAGGAGCAGCCAGCACGCAGTCAGGTGCAGGCCGAGGCGGGGGCCAGCGCCACGCTGAGCTGCAAGGTGGCCCAGGCCCAGACGCAGGTGACGTGGTACAAGGACGGCAAGAAGCTGAGTGGGAGCTCGAAAGTGCGCGTGGAGGCCTCGGACTGCACCCGGTGGCTGGTGCTGCCGCAGGCAGGGAAGGCGGACTCCGGGGAGTACAGCTGTGAGACTGGGGGCCAGAGGGTCACCTTCAGCCTGGCCATTTCTAGTTGGTTCTTCAGGGTATACTTTGTTTTGATTGGAGTTGGTGAGTTGGGCACATTACAGACCATACACCCTGGTATGGTCTCATTAAACCTCATACCCATTTTGTCCAAGTGAGATCAGATGGGGATGGGTGTATGGAAGGGACAGGGCTTTCCTTTAGACACCAGACATGTGTCTTTGTGCTAGTGCAGAGCTGTGCATTCTGAGTGCATTGTCCAGTGTTCAGGAATGTGGCTTATTGGGTACCTGTGTTCTGAAGTGGGTTAGGCATCTCAGATGTGGGTAATGTGACTGTGCTTCTATTTCAGTTTATTTATCATTATAGTTACATACAATATCATATTAATTTCAGGTGTACAGCATAGTGATAGAATGACCTTACATAGTAAGTCCCACTTGGCATCTTTTTTAAAGTATATTTTACTGATTATGCTATTATAGTTGTTCCATTTCCCCCCCTTTATCTCCCTCTGTCCTGGACATCCCCTCCCACTCACATTGTTCCTCCACATGCTTACTTCATGTCCATGGGTCTAACATATAAGTTCTTTGGCTTCTACTTTTCCTTTACTATTCTTGATCTCCCTCTGTCTATTTTGTACCTACCATTTATGCTTCTTACTCCCTGTGCTTTCCCCCCATTCTCCCCCTTCCCACTCCCCACTGACAACCCCCCATGTGATCTTCATTTCTGAAAATCTGTTCCTGTTTTTAGTTGTTTGATTAGTTTTTGTTTTTTTTTAAGTTCAGTTGTTAATAGTTTTGAGTTTGTTGTCATTTTACTGTTCATATTTTTATCTTCTTTTTCTTAGATAAATCCCTTTAACATTTCTTATAATGAGGGCTTGGTGTTGATCAACTACTTTAACTTGACCTTCTTTGGGAAGCACTTTATCTGCCCTTCCATTCTATTTTTTTTAAATATGTTTTATTGATTATGCCATTATAGTTGTCTTATTTCCCCCCTTCATTCCCCTCCACCCTGCATACCCACTCCCCCTATTCCCCTGCTTTAGTTTATGTCCATGTGTCACCTGTTCTTTAGATTCTGGTGACACATGGAAATAGATTTCCCATACTATTCTTGTCCTCCCCCCCGTCTATTTTCCACTTACTATCTATGCTACTTATTCTCTGTACCTTCTCCCCCCTTCCCCTCCTCCCACTCCCCTGTTGCTAACCCTCCATGTGATCTCCATTTCTATGGTTCCACTCCTGATCTAGCTGTCCTCTTAATTTGCTTTTGTTTTAGGTGTGGTTGTTAATAAGTGTGAGTTTGCTGTCCTTTCACTGTTCATCTTTTTTATCTTCTTTTTTAAGAAAAAGAAGATAAACATTTAACAATTATCATTTAACATTTAACATTTCATATAATAAGGGCTTGGTGATGATGAACTCCTTGAATTTGATCTTATCGAGAAGCACTTTATCTGCCCTTCCATTCTAAATGAAAGCTTTGCTGGATAGAGCAATCTTGGTTGTAGGACTTTGGATTTCATGACTTGGAATATTTCTTTCCAGCCCCTTCTTGCCTGTAAGGTCTCTTTTGAGAAATCAGCTGACAGCTTGATGGGAACTCCTTTGTAGGTGACTGTCCCCTTCTCTCTTGCTGCTTCTAGAATTCTCTCCTTCATTTTAAACTTGGCTAATGTAATTATGATGTGCCTTGGCGTGTTCCTCCTTGGGTCCAACTTCTTTGGCACTCTCTGAGCTTCCTGGATTTCCTGGAAGTCTATTGCCTTTGCCAGATTGGGGAAGTTCTCCTTTATTATTTGTTCAAATAAGTTTTCCACTTGTTGCTCTTTCTCTTCCCCTTCTGGTACTTTTATAATTCAGATGTTGGAATGTTTAAAGATGTCCTGGAGGTTCCTAAACCTCTCCTCATTTTTTTTTGAATTCTTGTTTCTTCATTCTTTTCTGCTTGGTAATTTTTTTCTTTCTTCTGGTCTACTTGATTGATTTGAGTCCCAGTTTCCTTCCCATCACTATTGGTTCCCTGTGAATTTTGCTTCATTTCACTTAGTGAAGCCTTCATTTTTTCATATAATTTGCAACTAAGATCAACCAGTTCTGTGAGCATCCTGATCACCAGTGTTTTGAACTGTGCATCTGATAGGTTAGCTATCTCTTGGTTGCTTAGAAGTATTGCCTCTGGGACTTTGAGTTGTTCTTCTTCCTGAGCCATAATGTTTTGGTCTGCTTGCACATGTTACATATGAGGTGTGGAGCCTTAGGTGTTCGCCAGGGCGGGGCAACCCAGGTCGCTGGATTGTGATGCATCTGGATGAATGGTTCATTGTTGTTGGACTTTGGTACAGTTTGATTTTCTCTCTGTTTTGGTTGCATTCTGGTTTTGAAATATTTGTTGTTCATAAACTTGGTTGTGCGAGGAGGTACAGTGTTTCCACCTATGCCTCCATCTTGGCCAGAACTGCCCTTCCATTCTAAATGAGAGCTTTGCTGGATCAAGTAATCTTGGATGTAGATCCTTGCCTTTCATGACTTCAAATACTTCTTTCCAGGCCCTTCTTGCCTGTAAAATTTCTTTCGAGAGATCAGCTGATAGTCTTATGGGCACTCCTTTGTAGGTAACTGTCTCCTTTTCTCTTGGTGCTTTTAAGATTTTTTCCTTATCTTTAATCTTGGGTAATTTAATTATGGTGTGTCTTGGTGTGTTCTTCCTTGGGTCCAACTTCTTTGGGACTCTCTGTGCTTCCTGGAATTTCTGAAAGTGTATTTCCTTTGCCAGATTGGGGAAGTTCTCTTTCATTATGTTTTCAATTTCTTTCTTTTGTTCTCCTTCTGGCACCCCTATGATTTGGATGTTGGAATGTTTAAAGTTGTCCCAGAGGTTCCTAAACCTCTCATCATTTTTTTGAATTTTTGTTTGTTCATTCTGCTCCAATAGAATGTATATTTTTCCTTGTCTTCCAAATTATTGATTTGAATCCCAGTTTCCTTCCCTTCACTGTTGGTTCCCTGTATATTTTTCTTTATTTTACTTTGTATAACCTTCACTTCTTCCTTTATCTCGTGGCTGTACTCAGTAATTTTTGTGAGCATCCTGATTACCAGTGTTTTGAACTCTACATCTGATAGGTTGGCTATCTCTCAGAGTTTGTATCTTCTTTGTTTGGTTTATTTATTTTGTTTTTTAGAGTCCACATATGAGTGAAATCATAGGGTATTTGTCTCTCTCTGTCTGATTTAGTTCACTCAGCACAATATACTCTAGGTCTCTACATGTTGTCACAAATGGCAAGATTTCAATTTTCAAGCCTAGTAATTTTCCATTGTATATACGTACTACATCTGCTTTATATACTCATCTAACTATGGGCACTTAGTTTGCTTCCATATCTTGAGAATTGTAAATAGTTCTTCAGTGAACATAGGGGTATACATATCTTGTTTTTTTAATTTTCATTTTCTCTATATAAACACCCAGAAGTGGGTTGCTGGGTAATGAAGTATATATTTTTAGAGTTTTAATTCATTTTTAGAGAGAAGGGAAGGTGTTACAGAACAAACCCAGGGAGGGTGAACAATATACTATTACTGAGCGGACCTACCCTTGTGCTCCAGGAGTCCCCCACCTTGTACTAGGTTTGCCTTGCCCGCTGCAAGGGAAAGACATCTCTCAATGCCAGAGATTGGTGAAAAGGAAAAGAATTATTTATTTAAAGAGTTATAGAAATGTAAGAGTAATAACTTAATGTCTTCATTGAGATCCCAAAGTCCTTTAGAATACCCACAAATGCACAGTCCTTCCTTCCCCCTCTGCCCAGTCCGGGGTACTGTATCTCATAAAAAGAAGTAGAAGTCTGTGATTCTTCTCTGCCCAAGACACATAGTCCCAAAAAGACCCTGCATGGCTGCTGTGCCTAAGTTTAAATTCCAGTGCCAATCTTCCCCTGCCTCACCATTTCCAACTTCTCCCATAATTGGCCACAGCTGCCAGCATTCCTGTATTTTTTTCCAGCTTTACTGGGCTGCCATAATAAAGTCCAGGCAGGTGTGGTCCTGTGATGTGGAGTCAATCATCTCCAGGCTCTGTAACCAGGGGGAGTTGCCTCCCAGTTACAACATGGGTTGAAGTCAGTCCCATCCCTCTGACTCAAAGCATGGCCACAGCTGTATAACATATCCATGAAAGTAGTTTAAGGTTATAGATATGTTAAACCATTCTAGAGGTTATCTGCCAAACTGTTACTATGTAAAACAGCTTTCAATGGCCTTCCTCCATGCGTCCCATCCCCCAGCTTAAACTTGGGGGGGGTAAGGACATCCTATGTATATATATATATATATTTTTTTTTCCTGATATTTCTGGGACACTGAGTTGTGGACCCCATTACAAATCTCTATATTTGGGGTCTCCCCTTGGCTGCACCCTGTTACAAAGGGAGGGGTAAAAAGAAGATGAGAAACACTGATGTGAGAGAGAAACATTGATCAGTTGTCTCTAGCATATGCCCTGACCATAACTGAACCCGCAATCCAGGCATGTGCCCTGGACAGAGGATCAAACCGATGACCTTTTGATTTGCTGGACAATGCCTAACCAACTGAGCCACACCAGTCAGAGCAATTGTTAATATTTTGAGGCGCTGTCGTACTATTTTCCGCAGTGGCTGCATCAGTTTTTAGTCCCACTAGCAATGAACGAGGGTTCCCTTTTCTCCACATCCTCATCAGCACTTGTCATTTGTGGATTCATTGATGGTAGCCAAGCTGAGGTATAGAGTGATACCTCATTGTGGCTTTGTCATTTCCCTAATGATTAGTGATGTTAAACATCTTTTTATATGCCTGTTGGCCATCTGTCTGATCTGTATGTTCTCTTTGGAGAAGTGTCTATTTAGACCCTCTGCCCATTTTTAAATTGGATTTTTTTGGCATTAACTTGTATGAGTTCTCTATATACTTTGGGTATTAACCTCTGATTGGATGCGTCATTTGCAAATATATCTTTTCTCATTCAGCAGGTT